ATACCAGCACTCTGAGGATACGCTTGGATAAGTTTGGCTTCTCCAAAAGGAATGTGGTCTTCTCAAATTATAAAAGAGCAAACTATCGACAAGGAGATTAACTATCAAACCGCTTTACCATGGTGCATAATAATTATGTGTCATAATTGCGTGATTTCCTCCATCCCGGTTTCAGAAGACATCCGTAACGATTCTATCTCTACTTTGTGTCTCAGCTAACTCACGGAGTCATGAACAAGGAGCTGAAAGCTTGCAAGAACCCCGAGGACCTCGAGTGCAATGAGAATGTGAAGCACAAGACTAAGGAGTACATCAAAAAGTACATGCAGAGGTTCGGCTCCGTGTACCGGCCCAAAGAGGACACGGACGTGTACTGACTGGACCGAGCCGCGGATCTTCCTGTTTGCCTCTGCGCTCGCTCACACTGGAGAAGCACAGTTTTGCCTTCCCTTTCACTCCTTTGTGTATGTCCTGGACAGTGAAGTAGTTTGGTTTCTTTTTTTTTTTAATTTTTTTTAATTTATGTCAAAGAATTTGCACTGTTGCCCAAGAATCTCTCCTGGCTTTGTGAAACGCACAGAAGGCTTCACGATTCAAGGCTTTTCAGGTGCTCGCTTGAGCGCGATGACACAGAGGGGTGCTACAGAGACTAATGTGTTCACTGACTGCCTCACTTTTAGCTTTTTGTTGTTTTTGTTTTTGTTTCCCCCCCCCATTATTAAATGTTCCTGAGATGATCCCTCTCTTTTTAAAGTCTTTCGGCCCTCAATCTGAAGTATTTAGCGAGATAAAAAGAGTCAGTGGAGTTTCCCGCAGTTTGAACATGGATCAGTGAAAGAGCAGCCCTGACTCTTTTCTTGCCAGCCCCACTTCCACTGACTAAATATCTGGTGCTGCTTTTATCTGGGCTGCCGAGGTCCAAGCTCTCACTGTCCGGCTCACTTCACCAGAAAAGCCTGCAGCTTCCTTTTTGTTTTAAGAATGCGCCAATAGGCCGAGCTCCGAGTGGCGTCCTCACGGAAATTCCTAGCAATGTGCCCTCACTGGGAAATGAACTTTTACTTTCAGTCCACTGAGGGATCGGCCAAGGACGAGCAGGTTGGGGAAGGGGTTGGAGCTCGGGAGTTACTTGATCTTTTATCAATTGAAAACCCGAAACAGGGTTGAAAGTCGTTGATTGGTGTGCTGTTTAAACTGAGGAATAGTTTTTATTTCCCCATCTTCATCCAGCTCCTTCCCCAACCGTCTTCTTACAGGAATACTAAAAAATGAAGTTTGTAGCATTGCAGTTTTAACATTTGCTAAAAATGTTGTGTGCTTTGGGTATTTTTAATAGATAGTTCTCATACTGAAGACCCTTGGTTTGGTCGACTTTGCTCCATGAACTCATTAATTTCCCTTTTTGTGTTTTTTTTTAATTTTTTTTTGTTTTACTGTTGACAGTAAAAGTTTGTTCTCTTAGCATTAGATCACGATTTTCTCACAGCCCATTAAATTGCATTAAACAACGTTCCAACATATGTACATTGCTTTATATGTGAATATATTGAATAATAGTTTTTGGGAATGTTTAAATGAGCAAACACTTTGTAAAAGGACTATCATTTCTTGAATAAAGTGTAAATAATGTGTAAAAAATAATTACCAAAGCTGTAAGCAGGAGTAAAGGGCCCAGGAGCACAGTGAGCCCGCCCATCCTCACCAGCTCAGTCCTCCTGATGCAGTTCCCACTTCAGCCCGTCTAACTCAGTTGTTCTTTCTTTTTTTATTTTTTCACTGGCCAGGGAGGTAAACATGTTTTCTGTTTGTTGATGGTGGTGTTTTTTTTTTTTTTTTTTTGGTCATTTTTCTATGTACAAAAATTCCACCGTACTCTACTGTAAGTATTGTGTAAGCACATTGTCATACCGAGTGTACAAACATTTTAAAAGACAATAAACCTTTTTTTTTTGTAAGATGATGCCTATTTTTTGTGTTGTAAAAAATTGTAGCTTGCAAATGGTAAAATCTTTAGTTTTCACAATTAAAAATCTGAAAAGTGTGACATGCAAGTGCATTCAGAATGTGCAGAACATTCTTTTCTGGAGGTAGAGCTGCCTGTATTTTTTTTTAAGCATATCTACCAGATCTGCGCGTGCAGAGGTAAAACTAGTTCAGTAATAACAGACGGAGAGCATCTGTAAGCATCTCTTTTTGCCATTGTTACTGATGAACAATGGTTGATGTAATTACAGCGCGACTCTGACTGGATGCTCCATCTAGTGCCGTCAATCTCCGCCTCAGTCGCAAATCTTTGGATAACCAGTCAAGTTTACATTTTCTTAACCCTCATGCAATCTTACTCCCCTTGTCCTTTGGGTCAAAAATGACCTGCCCTAACAAAAGCCCCAAAATAAAGCAAATTAATTGGATTGTAAATCCCAAATCTATTTTGCATGTTGAAACAAGCTGACATTTATCACTTCAACTCAATTCAATTAACTGACCAGGGTTGGAAAAAAAATCATTTGTATTATGCCATTTAAATATCAAATTGTTCTCACACTGATGATGGCAAGCTACTGGATTGTAGCTACTGTGAGACTGCAGTTTTGCACCATCAGCCCTTCTGACCAATACCAGCAGGCGAGGCGGGCGGACCGAGAGTCGAACCGGAGAACTCCTACCGCCATCGCCCACATCAACTTACATGGTTTGCTGCAAACTGGAGAGATGAAATCAAGTCTGCTGCCGTCCTGCAACTTTGAAAAGCATCCCTCCTCCAACACACTGGATGGCTGGTTACCAGGCCTGTTCAGAGGTGAATGACTGCTGGTGAGAAAATTCAGCCATTTGATCCCTTTGGAGTAAGGAAGCGTCTAAAAGTTGCCGGATGGTAGATCTAGGTGAGTCCTGAAGTCGTTTGTTTGCACTGGATGTTGACACAATCTACTGCTATTTTGTGTCGCTCTGTTGCACAAAACCCCAGTAAAACAAACACACGTTTGTGGTTATTTTTGTGAAAGGTTTCAGCAGCTATGAATATTTTTGCAAGGTATTTCCGCTAAGTATCAAATTGCGTAAAAGTTTTTACTTATTTTTTTTTTTTAAGTACCACAACTTGCTGCATGATTTACATCTCAGCGCTCACCCAGTCCTGCTTTAAATTGCCTTAAGGCCTGTGGTGCACATGGCATGAATACAACTCTGGCACGTTTTGCACAGTCTTTGGCCAGATGTTTGGCCCCTGCAAAGGGAAACAAAGTGATCAAGTGCCTTCATTAGAGATATCTGCTTGCTCTAAACACAGAGACCTGTTGATGAGTGGAGAAAGCTGTTTGCAGTGCTTTACTTCTCTTCCTCAATCCCATCCCCCTCTTTTTTTTTTTTTTTTAAGTGTGTGCACATTCCACACGCCCCAATGCCTGTGTGCTCCAGACCGCAGTTAAGCAGTCCCTTCTGGAGTGTGTGATGGCATGTAACGCTGCCTCGGGCCATGCGAGATGCCTGCTCCCACTTAGAACCGAAGGCTGAGACATCATTAACAGAGCTGAGTTCAGTGAGACTGAGCCTCGGTGAAGGCTTGACCAAAGCTGTTCTTTTGAATTCACACTCAAATGATTAAAAAAAAAAAAAAAGTATTTCCCTCAAGGTTTTTTTCAGGAAGTGTTTTAATACTGTAAATCCTTTGATAAAGACGTATTGCATTCCAAGCAGGTCCAAATTTCCTCATCTAAATCCCAACAAGTGGGAAACAGGAATTGGTAAACAATCGCAGTTCAAAAGCAGAAAGGAGGATTATGAGTTCAGTAAAGTCACAAAAAGTAATATTATATTTGGTGCCAAACAACAGCAGGTTGATGTCATCGGTAAACCTGCCAAACTGAGCCTGTGTAATTAAGGCTTTAACAAATACCTAAAATAACATTACATGGGCAAATTGTTGTACTTGAGGAGAGGTTTAAGAACTACTATTCTTGATTTTAATGTGGGTTTTTAAATAAGCTGCTATGAATATTAATTAAAACTATCTCTCAGTAGATTTTGAAGCAGTTTTAACAGTTTGCTAATTACTAAGGTTTGCTAAGGTAGCTTGGACGCTACATATTTGCTGCAACAACCATGTTTCAAAGTGAAGATGATGTAATCAGGGCAATGTATAACATTACAATTATGAAATGCAATTGTATACATATAAATTAAATTCTTTTTTACATGCAGCACATTTGAGATCTTTATTTGGTGAAAGTTTTTTTTTTTTTTTTAATCAATATCGTTTTTTCCCCCCACTTTATATTTAAATCAAATCCAAATGAAATACACTGAAGTCTGTGCTTCTAATTGGACCAAATATAAAAACTCCAACAAACCAATTTTTTATCACTTAATTATTTGTGAAATAAATAAATGTTAGTAGGACATTTTTGATACACTTCATTTATTTGTTTTCTATGCTGGCTTTAGTGGTGCTGAAGCCTGCACATCTTAAAGCTTTTAGAAAGTAAAATCCAAATGGCAAGTCTATCACAGGATTAATGTAAGCAACCACAGGAAATCCAGCACACTGGAAAAACCATAAAAAACACCTAAATTTACCCATACTACATAAACATTTAGAAGTTTCTGGGAGGCAAATTAGAGACTATAAAGGCTCCCTATGTTTTTCGGGGGGAGGAGGGGTTGTGTGTGGAAAAAGTTTAGCCTGGCAATAAAATTGTTGGATAAAGTGACCTCGCTCAGCGAAAAGTGTAGAAAAGGCTTTGATAAATCTACATTACTGTTGCACGATATCCTTGAAATAAGCTAAAAAAAAAAAAATTAAAAAAAAACAAAGAAAGACGAAAAGAAATAAAGATTCTCAGAGACAGGCAGCTGTGGCAGAAAGAACGCAAAATACGCCCCAAAAAAAAAAAAGAGTTTGTTGTCTAATAAAAAAGATGCAGATGTGATCCGGCCAGGTAAAGAAAGTATTTTTCCAATTGTCTCAAAACCTTTTGGCAGTCAACTGCAGTACAGACATAATTATTTAAAAAGTACTTTATTTTAAAAAAATTTTTTAAAAAAGTATCCAAAGAAGAAACACGTTGAGCTACGGAGTTCAATATAAACAACTTTACATAGAAATATTCCTTTTTTATGTAAAAGGTGAGATTTGATTTTTGTTCAAAAATACACATTTCACTACATACTGCACATCATTTTGCTTGTGAACTGGATATTTACAGTGTTTGTGTGTCTATTCTAAATGGTTTTGTTCTTAACATATAAAGTTTATCGGTGACATTGTCGTTAAGTATGAAAGGATTGAATTCCTTTGTCGCTGCACTGTGGGTGGAAGCAGTTATTAATGGGAACAAATCTGTCTGACACAACATGGTTCTATGACATTGTATGATTTCCCAATTGAATTAAATATGACTAGAAACATTTTTGGGTCAATTTCAGCAGAAACACGAAGGTCTGATTCGTGTTGTCAGGTTCCTACTAAAAAGGAACCTGACAACACGAAGAAGGCCAAAAGATCAAGAAAAACCACACAAACCAATGATTGAAATAACATTTAAGAATAGATGAGGAACATCTATTGTGTGACATATTTCAGTCATAAAACCTCTTACCATTTAAAACCATAAAGTCATTTTAAGGCATCGAATCTCCAGTGGGTGAACCAAACTGAACAATAACGAACCTTCACAGGAGTGGCTGACCGGCCATAATTCTTGAGAGAAAACATGTCCGAGTCATCCAACCGAATACCTCTAAACAGTCTCTGAAGCACTTCAGGCTTCACTTTCTAACCTCAACGGAAGAGTTTCAGCACCAAATGGAAAAATATTCTGTGGTCTTATGAGAAAAAGAAAAATAATAATTTTTGCAAGTTGTGTATCCCGCTACCTCTGGTGTAAACTGACTCAGCATTTCTGACAGACATTAGTCAGGCATGGAGGGTGATAGTGTGATAGTCTGGGCCTACTTTGCCCCAGACTTGCAGAAATGAATAGAGCCAATAAGCCGCCCCACTTATGAACAAAAAACCTGCTTGACCTTGAACAGGCTTCGTGTGCTCAAACACACTCCAGTGTAGCTGAATTCTGCAAAAGAATAAAAAAATTCCTCCACACTGATACAAAAATAAAAACTGAAAAACGTAACTTCAAGCTGCAGCACAGACTTGAGGTTGTTGCACCCAAGATAGAGCAAACTGACAAATTTATGGTGCCAATTTCATTTTCTCAAAGGGAAAAGTTAGATTTAAATATTTCCTCTTAATTAATAAAATCAACTTTTTAAAAGGGCTTCTTGCAGTTACTTAGGTTGCCATTCTCTGATATAAACATTTTCTTTGTGATCCGAAACATGTAAATGTGATGTAAAAAACAACAACAACAACGACAAAACACAAAAAAACAAAACACTAGAAAACTTCCAGGGGAAATATTTTGTACGGCTCTGTATATTCAGTCCAATAATCCCTGCACTGGCAGACAGACAAATCAGTTACCATTCGACATCATAACCTTTCAAACAGTTCAAAGAAGCCACAAGTAATATATTTTTATAGTATTGATGGTATTTTAGTGAAAAAAAAAGGTCTATAAACAAAGTAATTTAAGAATGGCTCCTTCAACCATAACAGAAGAGCTGAAAGCTGAGCGCCTCGCCGATCCCTCACTTGAGTCTGTGATTGTCGCTCGAGGGTCTGGCGAGTTGGTCACACCACAGAAACGCCCTGCTGTGTGCTGTTAAGGGCCGTCACCACATCGGGTCTCTCGATGCGGTTTAGCGCCGAGCTCAGCAGTCCCAGAGTGGAGCCCTCTCTCTGGGCCCAGTTAGACAGGAGCGTGTGCGCGGGGGCCTCGCCGCGTCCGAACAGGTCCAGCTGTTCGGGTTCGTAGCCCAGCGCCGCACCCAGGTGCCTCCATCCACGGCCGCTTGCCTCCTGCAGGAGGCGCTCCACCTCCTCCTGTTTGTGCGGCGGCAAGTTGACGTACAGACGGTTGTCGAGCTTGCTGTCTCTCTTGGTACCTGTTTGGAAAACAAGCTTAATGAGCTCAAGGCTTGGTGGGACTCAAGAGCTGGCTGACGTCATGATGTTTGTTCCATGTTTAGAGTTCACTTTGAAACGTATATCACTGAGAGCCATGCATTAGCCCACGGCTGTGTTCTTTTTCTGCCCACCAGTGTTTATTCTTGTGCAGAAACTAATGTCATTCCCGCTTGTTTACGGCAGTCTGTCTGCTGATGTTTCCCTGATTTCTGCTTGTTTAGCTACACTTTGGTTGGATTTTGTTCCAGGGCTCATTACTCCTTAGTGCGTTTTGAGAGAGGTCACATTGTTTAATCGTCACCATGACAGACCTTGGACTTGAGGACTGCATTTATTGGCGGCCCTTGTAAAACAAACAAAAAAAGGAAAGATATATATATATATTTTTTTGTTTTTACTTTTAACAAAGCACCATAACTTCAAACGAGAAGTTTTAAGTTAAGCTGATCTAAATTTTTCATCTGGGCTTTGGATACACAGAGGTTGGTTTCTCCATATCACCGTTTAAAATAGGAAATACCCAAAAACATGCCACTTAAACAAGTCAGACGCCGTGAAGCATATATGACTCGTGCAGGTCAAGGGTCAGAAAAAGGGCAAGTGACATTTCTTCATGGTCTCTGACTGTAATTCAGTCTAGGCTTAAAAATGTCTGCAGTTGTAATTTCTGCTTTGTGTTTATTAGATAATATCTTACTATAATTCTTCAAAGCTATTATTACATTTGTTTCTTTCAATAGTAACATGAGAATTGGTGTGAAAAAGGCCAGTAATGTGTTACGTTACAGCAGTAATTAGAGGATGTGTGGTAGATCCTGCTCAACATGGGACAACAGTGACACATTTCTCTTGGAGGGAGTTGGACGCCCGAGACAATGGCACAACTTAGCTGAGGAATGTGATGCTAACAGCGTAAAGAGGAATCTGATAATCGTTTCCTCACCAGTAAATCATCTTTAACGCATGACCCAGTCAACCACTGAGTTCTCCAGCAATCATTACTGGAATGGTGTTTATAGTCCAGACCCATCCATAAAACTGACAAACTTTATGGAGAGTAGAAGAGTGAAACTTTTCTTTAGTTTGCCAAAAAAAAAAAAAAAAAAAAAAAGAAAAAGACTTCAAGATGCTTTTAATATATTCTGATCAATGAGAAACCAAACCTTTAGTCTAGTGGAAAACATAGTAGATAATGTTATACTTCAACAAAGACTTTATTGCATAGACAAAATATCTAAATAGATAATGTTTCCACAGTTAATCCCCAATATTCAGATTTAAATGAAGTTTTAAATGTATAACATGTTTGAATTTGATATTTAAAGTGCAAGTAGAACCTGGAATTCCACTAAACAACAACTTAAGTGATGACCTATAAAATAAACCTGCATGAACCTAACGGATTTCAGCCGACACACACAAATTCAGCACAGCTTTCGTTGGATTTAACACAATAGGCTGTTCAGCAAAGCACCAAAATAGTTTAAAAGTTGGTTTCGTAAACTCACTTATCAAAAATAATGTTTAGGCATTACATGGTCAGAAATTATGATTATTTTGACTTATTTTTAAATATATTTTGCTGTCTGTCATTGTGCCTAGAAAATTTCGTTCTCCATGAAAACTTTAGAGCGAACAGCTATCCTGGCCTTGGAATAAATATGGCACATTGACACTTGCCACATGTTGTACCTCCATTAACCACTAGAGCGCAGAAGACTCGTGTGGCATTTGATAGGGCAGGTTTTTAAGGAAAGATCTATTGCCACAGCAGATAGCTTGGAAGTGTATCCCACTAGGACTTTTCAGTAAGAGCTCAGAAGGAAGTGTATAAAAAATGTAAGCATTTGCAATTGTAGAATTACAATCTGTGTGTCTTCCTTGCCTTTACTGGGCTGGTTGTCCTGCAGGCTGTAAGAGTCCAGAAACACACCGCTGTCACTTTGGAGCTTTTCTCCTTCTGGAGACGTTGCCAGCTCTGCCACACGGGCCTTGGAGAGGGCCTTCTTCTGTTTGCACGACCTCCAACTGAGAAGAGTCCATGAAAGCAGTTTAAGTGTGCACATGCCCAACATGCTCACGTTAATACAGGACATGGACGCAGTACAAACTCACCATTTATAAGCCACATAAACCAACAAGCCCAGCACCACAGCAGCCAGGACAGACACGTAAACGAGAATGTTGTTGCTGCCGCCCTCATCCAGCGGTGTAAACTTGGACGGTCCCGGTGCGGGGCTGCCGCCTTCCTCCTCATTTTCCTCCATCACCGCCCCGTTGGGAATATTCACGACCCCATCGGTACCAGCAGGGCCGATGTGCAGCTTCTTATCTATCAGACATAAAGACGTCTCAAGAAGGAGCTGCACACATGCTCATCAGAACATATTTAGACCAGATGTGAAGATAACTTCTGTCACTCTGCTCCCCTGGGGATTTTAACCTTCCGTTGCCCCTATTTTTTAGCCGCCCTGCACTTTTACCTTTTTGGGATCAAACAGCACAAGATAAGGCACCGACCTGTGCAGGGTCAAAAGGGTCATGACAAATGGACTCTCAATGAGTACAGATGACCTTTGTCTTAGGGAGCAAGTGTAGCCCTTTGAGGGCAAGATCACTAGCAGTCAGGGTCAGCTGCCTCACTTTGCCTTCAGCAGCAGTTAACCTAAAGACCTGTCAACCTTTAATCAATTGGACGACAACACTAAAGTGAGCTTTTGGACTTCTCGTGTTTCTTTGTGTTGAGAAACTATGGAATCAGGTGCTGCCCACATGTTCAGAGACTCTGGTCCTGCAAATTCAATTTTAGGGAACTTGCACAACTAATGGTAACCCCGTTAAGTATGGGTAGTAAGTAAATATTTTTTTTCATTGGAGTCTTATGTTTTAGGTGACACAACTGTAGCTCAAATTGTCTCCAGTGAATCCTTCTGTCCTTTCATAAACTGGTCTGTTTTTGGGGATTTCATGTCAAATAGAAAAAAGTGGATTTCATCTCGTGATTTAATTATTCGCTTCCAGATATCAATCATTACTTAAAAGAAACTTAACTTTGCAATTCAGAGCCGTGAAATTGACCTCTGTCTCTCTAAGAAGTTCCTGCTCTTTCTGACACTCTGCCTCCAGCACATCAGCACAACAATGTTTCTCCATTATGTAATTTTCAATTGTTCTTAGGAGCGTTGGACTTGCAAATAGTTTGTATGAAGAGCTCTCTGGCCTCACAGTTCCACCAGGTGTTTTGGGAAAGTGTGAGGTAGGTTGGGGGGGTGGGGCTGCCTCACAAAGGAAAAATATCCCCTCTGCCATCTAAATAGCTTCACATGGCCAAGCGTTTATTCACCCCCGAATGGCTGCCAGGATTCTGTGATTTTACTGAGTGAATAACATTATGCCCAGATTCTTCCTTCAAAAGCTGTTTGCAAAACTACCAAATATATTAGATTTGTGTTTCAATAAGGAGAGTGTATTTGCATGAAAGCACTCACCCATGCAGAGTGTGTCAACGTTGTGCATACAGGATTGGATCTCCACTTCTTCATCAGAGCACTGACTGCAAGCCTGGCAGGGTTTGGTGTTGAGGTCCTCCTCTGAGAAGGTTCCCGGGCCACACTTCTGGCAAAGCGTGTCTCCTTGAGGACTGCACTCCCGGACGACCCCATGACCTAGCCTGCACTTAGAACAGGGTGCGCATAGAGCCAAGCCGCTCAGAAAGTAGAAGCCAGTGTCGCACTCGCATTGCGTGTCCTGGGTTGTCGAACAGGACGCCAGCGTGGGCACACCAAACGGACAGGGGCTGCATGGCAGGCAAGAGTTGAGGCCTTCGGATGGTGAAAATGTTCCTGGGAAAAGAGGTTTGAATGGATAATTAAGTGCATTCCAATTTTAAATACTGAAATGTTGCCATAAAATACAAAATAAGTTAATTTTAACTTCTTTCATTAAGTACTGTACATGCAGATGTTTGGGGGAAATAATATCATAGCAGGACAGCATTACTGATTCTTAGCAATTTTTTCTTTATGCATAAAGTCCAGGAAACCATTCTTTTTCTCCTTAGCTACACAAAAATTTTACGTTTCCAGTGCATATCTCAAAATATCTCTGCTTGGTGGATATGTGAAATTTTGGAAAAAAATGTTAATATCAGGTAATAAACAAGAAGCATCCTGTTGTACAAACAAATTGTCAGTGCTTACCTGGCAGACATGGTTGACATTTGGTATTTTCCTTCCCACACATTTTCTCCAATCCATAACCAGCTGGACACAAATTGCAACAATGTCCCGACTCGGTGTACTTCCCACTAGCACAACCCTTTCCAAGAGCAACCTAGAGAAAACATGAAGTGTAAAGATAAACTCACTGCTCTTCAGGAAAGAGCTACATATATTTCTTTACATGTTTTTGCCTATTAACTTTTGATCAAATCACAGAAACCCTGCATAATTTTTTCCTTCACAGGAAAACACGATTTCGTCATCTTTTTGCAAGCAAATCCCACTCTTCCCACCCTTTTGTGATCAAAGACACATGGAAAACGTCAAGCCTTTTTTTCGTTGTTCTTTTTGCAATCTTTCCATCTGACTCAGTTCACTCTCCAAGTGCTCTGACTTCTTATCTGTAAGTGGGTACTGGAGCGGCCCGGCTTATGATGTGACACAAACACAACAGTTTAGATGTTCTTCACAGCTTTCACAGAAGAGATTGCATCTGAGAGGATTGTTGAGTTTTACATTATTGCAGAAAAAAAATTACAAACATAGATATTACGGTGCCCTGTCAAAGTAGTCACACGCTGAAACATATCAACGATTCATCTTGTTATAAACTCAAACTTCAGTGTTTTATTTAAGTGTTTTTATGTAACAGACCAATGTGAAGTAGAGCCCATTGTGAAATTAAAGGAAATGGATGCAAGGTTTTCACAATGTTGTGTGAACAAAACTCAGAACAGTGTGTTACACATTTCTATTCAGCCAGACTAAGACAATACCTTGGCAAACCAAACTGGTCTACAATTGCAGCTGAACATTTCACAAGCGTCTTGCAAATTATCCAACAGATCATTTTAGATAATTCAAATGGCAAATATCTGTGAATAAGGATTTTGCTTTCCTGGGACAGATATTCAATGCAAAACTATTGTTCTGCATGTAGGATACTAGAAATGGTAGACACCTTGCTCCACACATTTGATGGCTTGTGATAAACTAAGTAGAACTTCATAATGCTTCTTTTCAATAAGGTATTTCTAACTGACACTCATTGCAGTCTGAGCTGTGGATTTCTGCATTTCCTCCATAGTTATGATCCTCCAGGTCTTTCTAATACTCCCCTCACTGCAAAAACACAAAATCCGACCACATTTGTCTTCCTAGTGCAAATATGAACACATGAATTAGTTAGTTAAGACAAAACTAAGTTAGTTAAGACAAAACTAAATTACAAGGAAAGAGTAGTGGCTCTTTAAAAGCAAATAATTCCTCAATATTGATGACAGGTAGTATCACTGGCAGGTTATTTCACTTATAAAATTTTAAATATGTCTTGCTCTAAGTGAAACAATCTGCCAGTGGAAGTAATACTTTTTAAATCAGTACTATAGAATTATTGACTTACAACAAGCTCCTGTATCTTGCTGAAAAGTTACTTGTAACTTAGTTTATTTCAAGTGTACTAAGATATTTGCCCCAGAAACTAGACCAAAATACCTGGTAGAATCTCATGCTGGCCATTAATTGGTAGTGAGTTAAGTCTTAACTCATAACGTCACAAAATCTATTACATCAATACCTTTGCAAAGCACTAAAGGTAATAGAAGCTAACAAATCAAGAGGAGCTTCTATTCTGTTTCCACTCAATCCAAATCCAAAGTGAAGGACACTTTTCACAGCCAGCGCATGTGAAAGGGGTGAGGGGGACGGGCCCAGCCTTTGCCAAGGGTGTCAGTGAACCAAAGCCACCCAGCATGAAAGTGTTCAGAGACACCTTTGAAGTCACCAAGCCCTCCAGGTGTGTCTGTGAAGATCAGCGTTTCACCAATAACCCCCCCGCCTCTGCAGCCTCAATGCAACGGCATCTTAAATATGCACAAGGCGACTGGCCTTCTCCGCCCAGGGGCCTGACAAGAACAAACCGAGCAAACAGATGTCTAACAACTAACCTCCTGCTAAGGGGAAAAGCAACATCTAAACTGCCCGATGATGATTTCTTTCTTTGTCTCTGAAGTCTGCCAAGAAGCTCAAGGGGAGCATGTGTGGACCTGTAGGGCCTCCATTAAAACCCCACCAGCAACGCCCCCCCCCCACACACACAGAGTGCTTTGCTCCCAGTCAGAAAACACTCAAATGTTCCATGCTGATACTACAGCTTTGAATCTGGGCTCACATCGTTCCAACAACAGTCAGTCAGACTGCGGTGCTTTATGGTGGAGCCGATGATATCTGAACGCCAGCCGCAGGGCCCAGATCAGAGGAATTATGGTATCAGGACGGTTGGACCCAGCAGGAATAAACCAGTCTGGAGTTAGCACACACAGTGGACTTACAGCAAACCTAAAAAAGCATCACAGCTGGTCCTCTTTTATGTGACAGATGAGGCTATTCTCCAAACACTAGTCAACCTCTTTAGAGCCTAAACTTTGCTTTGGTAAATATTTGATGATGGTGGCCCTGCTTTATTTTTACCTACAGCTTGGATTTCTAATTTTACAGTCGTTCCGAACCTGAGCCGGTTCACCTCTGCCAGCCGGGGCTGTAAAACGGGACAGCAACTCAGCTGAAAACTGGAAAATTTGACACTTCTCAAAGAGAGGCTCTGGGTGCAATGGCAGATTCAATCCATGACACACTGGAGGGGAGTGACAGAATCTGTCATCTTCACAAGGCTAAGCATTACTATGTAGGGACAATATTTAAGATACATGAGAAATTATCAGAGGCATGCAATAAAACTGGCAGTCGCAAAAACCTGGTTCAGCCTTGCTTTAAAAATTCTTGTGAAATGACCCTAAAAGGGCAACAAAAACAGCCCTGAGTTCATGTCCTTGCAGAAATATGAAGCTTTATCTCATTTTTCTTTCTTTAATAAATTATCGCTGGATGCCGAGAGAAATTTCAACATTTTACCATAAACCAGGAAGCCGCCTGAACACCAATACATATGAGTCATTTATCCTCCATTTATGAATACAGCAACATGGATATGTAAGTCATGTGAGGAGTGTGAGGGGATCTACTGGTGACATAAACTATTATTCCTTCAGAAGAGCATGCAATGTTCTCTAGCATGCAATCACAGCTTCCAGCTTCAATAGTCACACCTACTGAGACACTGATGAGTAAAGCTCCTATTACAGAGCTGCAAATATAATTCCTGTCACATGAACAACTTGCAATTTTTGTGCAATTGTCAGAAAATATTGAGTTCCAGAAACATTTTTTGGAACTCAAAGCAAATTTCCAGACAGACAAGCAAATAAAGAGCTCAACAAATGACATTAAATAGTAGTCTTAATAATTAAAGATATGAATATATGAGAAAAATATTTTTCTCAATGTAGTATGTATCATACTACAACTTCCTTTCAGAGTACCAGACTTTATTCAAAGCTTCTGAAGGTCTTTCAAAGTCTCTCAGTGGCCTTTTCACTCATTTTCAGTCCGAAATCCAAAAAAAAAAAACTTTCACAGGAATATTTTCCCTCATTTCTCAGGCTTCCCAGCTCTAACCAGTAAAACAGAGCAGTGGGTGCTTCATGAAAATCAGTTAAAATGGATGTTAACATTCGTCAAAGTACAAAAGCAGCTGGTTATGTTATTATAGACAACTTCCATGTCTTCTCAATTTTTCAAATTCTATCCTTAATTTTTTTATTTTTATTTAAAAGTATAGGAGGCTGCAGTTATTTTCAAACAGGCATTTCAAATTAAGGAACCTATTTGAAATTATACCGAAAGTGGATTATTTGTCATATTTCTCCACGACATGATTTGCAGATATTGTTTATCTGTTCATTGTTTGTTGTAACTTTGACTCTTCTTCTCATGTTCTTCACATGTTCCCTTTGTAATTTTTCAAGCACATGCCTTCCAGGTCAGGTACGAAATATGTGCAAAGGTTATGTGAAAAAAGTAGCAAAAACTCTTCGAGGAACTTTTTTCTCAAAGCATTTTTAATATCTGCCTTTGGGGAAGTATATGGTAAAATATGAAAGCAACTTACTTTTAGGGGACAGGCTTACTGTGTCGCTACAAGACTTTGTCATTATCTTCATAAATTAACTGGTCACGACCCCTCAGAGGATTTTTTTCTCTTATCTGCTGAATCTGGGCTCTAAAATCTGAAGGAAAGGGAGCCGCAGTTGCTTCTGCCATTAAGGCAGTAAGCTTCAATCTGACGGGATTCCCCAGTGAGACCAGACGGACCACCATGGAGAGCTGCTTTCAATGGGCCTCTCAACTCCACGGCTGCCCGAGTCACTCAGTCAACGCGGATCAGACGCACACACTAACACACACACACATCGCCTTCTTAGTGCGTTAAAAATGTCCTGAACCCTTTCTGAAGCGAGAAGGCCCGGAGTCTCAACATCTAATCTGATCCGCGGAAAAACAGAGTCACAAAAGGATGCTCTCCCCCTTGTGAAAACGTTGATCCATAAGAATTTAAAATCCGACTGAAGGTTTGGGAGCCAAGACAGCGTGGGCCGAGGCAGACTTCAGCAAATCTGCACGGGTTTCTCTCAGGATTTACATTTTTTTATCTTGGAAAAGAAATCACAGACGACCAAAGGCAGCATCGATAACAAACATGACTGTTAATTACAAGCTTCAACTATATTGAGAGACTCTATGAGTTAAAATGATGTTTATTCCTCCCAGCTGTATGAAAAAACCCAGGTTGACATTAGAGACTTTCATTTCCCGCTTTTTCTTTCACATTTTCACTTGGAATAGCCGTAATCCGCGGATGCAACGAGACGATTTAATCCAACAACTTTCTGCATCTGCGCTAAGTCGTCTAATGGGGAAAGAGAGCATCATGTGACAAGATGTGCATTTTCCAGATGAGAAGCAACATCTTAGATTTCACACATGCTCTTTGTTGACACCTTCCCCTCAAATCTCAGAGATATCCATCGTCTTAAAAAGGTGAGGTGTTATCTAAATACTTAGATCTAACAAAAGTTCTGTGACTGTGAAGAGCAAGTCTAGACAGGATCTCCAGCGCTGTGAGGCTTGGACGAAAATGAGAGTCAGACTATTGTCTGCTGCAGCAAAGGAAGGGGCTTTCTATTCACCATGATCCTGGTTTTTTAATAAGCCATCAAAACAACACCCAAACTATAATTTCTTCATAAAACAGATCATTTACTTTGTTTGTGGTGGATAATCTTGGAAAAGTGCCCTTGTGTTTTGGCTTTTAGTGCCTCAGCACAATGGCGGCCTCTGGGTTGGAAATGATAACCATCGTCCCAATTCAAACACACAACATCGATAAAAAGATTTTCACACGTTTGCAGGATGATCTCTAACCATAGGGCTCTCCAGATTCTGAGGCGTTGCATTAGCAAACTAAGCAGGCGCTTAAAGCCTGGAAACCCACAGGGGGCGCTCTAGAGCAGCAGAATTTAAGATTTTGTTTTATCCCCAGTGAAAAATCAGCAGAGGGCTCTTTTCTTCCCACCCTTCTCTAATTTGAACTTTTCCCATTTCATTTGGTTTCTAACCAGATGTTTCTGGGTACAACATGGAGCCATCTACCATGAGTCATTTCCTACAGACTGAGTGTACATTTCAGACATGCTTTGACAACCAACGATTTAAAGTAACTTCATATAATCTGCTCATAGTCTGGTAAAGGAAATGTGGTTTTCAGACTCACAAATCACATCGACCAGCAAGGCGGTTGCTCAGGGTTACAGTAATTTGGAATGCATGGAAACACAAAGTTTTCAGAAAACAATATTAAAATAAATTAGATTTGATGCTTATCTCAACCAAAAAAAAAATGAACATAAAACTGATATGCAAAGGCTTGAATTCATGATTTGCTTAATGCAAATGCAAATAAGAGCGAACAAATGATAAATAGGCACAAAGTAGAGGAACGATATTGCAAAAGGGAAAACTGACCTGAAACCACCAGCTGTTATCATGCAAAATAAACAGTGTCGCCTGTAAGGACTTTCCCCTGCTAAATATTTTCTTTTAGAATAAATAAATATTTTAGAAGTATCCCAGTCTGTACCTCGACAATGCACTACATATGTCTACATTGCTGAAGAGAAATTGCTACTGCAATAGTTATGCAAAAATGATCGTGATTTAACATTTAGAGATGTATGACGCAACAGGAGATTTTAGCTGAGCTGTGGTGACTGGAAGAGACCAAAATCAAATTCCTCCTATAGTCCAAAAGAATTTTAGTAACTAGCCTCTGAAATAAGGTATAAATTAATGAAATAAAAGCAGCTGCTTAACACCTCAAAACCTTTAGGGGGCATCCAAGAGTAAAAGTCAGTTTTGCAAAGGCATAATTGCTTTAGGAGTGGTGATAGATCAATGGTGGGGGCTAACTTTGGTCTTTCACTTATTGCTTACTTTTGCATTGTCACATTAGTCTGGCAAGATAATCTGACTTTATATATATATATATATATATATATATATATATATATATAATATATATATATATATATATATATATATATATATATATATACACACAGATTGTTAAATGAGTTGCACAATGCATAAACACATAAACATGGATGATGTTGATAAAGACTCCAGCCAAGCTGTGGTGAAGTTAGGGAGAAAATGTTTGGGGGCCTTAAAGAATCTTGGACCGGCTCTGCATGCAGATGTGAAGCATGTTGCACTTGAACCCCTGCAGGGAACCAAACACACCATATGACGTTCATCTTTCTATTAATATTTGGCAACAATAGCGCAACATACAGAGCCTGTGCCATCCATATGGCTCTGCGGCGTGAAACAGAAACCCTGTGGGAACAATGGTGCGCTCCAATCTGGGTGGGATCGCTTTACAAAAACGCCTCAGGTTTATATCAGGATAATATTCTCATTACGAATCAGAAGAGAGACACACACCAAAAAATCTTTGTCAAAGAAGAACATGCAGATTTATTTGGTCTTTTGCTTACTTTCAGCAGCAGAACCGCAGAGATGACGATCAATCTCATGTTTCCAGTCTCCGCAGGTCTCTTCGTCTCCGATCACCGCGGCGCGTCTCCGCGTCGCACCAGAGCTGCTTTCTGCCTCCGGCGCTCAACGAGCGGCTCGAAGCGGCCAGAAACCTCCGCAGCGCAAGAACTGATTAAAACACAACACGAACGAGCCGGTTCCGCCTCTCCGTCATGGACCTGCAAAAGTTTGCTCTCACGCACAAAGAAAAAAAAAGAGAAAGAAATAGCGACTTCCAGATGCGTAAAAAAAAGAAAAAGAAAAAGAAAGAAAGCAAAAACCCGTAGATGTAATCCAGGGGAAACAGAGAGAGGTTTCTTTCAGCTCATTCCTCCGTGGCAACAGAGTCTCTCTGTCTCGGGCTGCGGGATGTGCGTTTGCAGCTTTCTTCTCTCCTGCAGCTTTGCAACAGATGAGGCAGAGGGGCAAAAGAAGAAGAAGAAAGAAAGAAAGAAAAAAACTGCACCAGGACTTTTCTCCTCCCATCTCCTCAGCTTTCAGCCGCGCTCCCTGATTGGCTGCATCACTGAGACGCGGCGAAGGGACTCCTCGGATCTCATTAACTTTAACAGCACAGGATGTCTGACTCTTGTCAATTGTTGGATTGAAGGCCAATTGTTAAATGCGTGCATCCCCGGCGGAAGTAAATTGAATAAATATGAGGTAAATTTTACCCAATTTCTTTAAGTATTTTATATATTTTTTGTTCAGTGACATTATACTCGATATATGGAATTGAATATACCCCAAAAGAGTCAATGCAAATTGTTACCTCAGATTTATTAGGTCAATTCTATAGATTAGTTTTTACAGTGTGGACTCTTTTACTTACAGCCATGCTTTGGGGAGCTGCAGATGATTTCACAAGTCTGTGGGCGATCTTGTAGTGTTCCACACTGCACAATGTAAAATGCTCTTTCATTATTTTTTACTTTGTATGTCCTGTCAAGTTACAACTTCAGGACAAAATTCCCTTGGATGTGATGTTGCAGGTTAAAGCAAAGCAAAGGAACGGAGGAACTGAACAGGATTTTCCACATTTTTACCCTCGGCTGCTCCCAAAACTGGGAAACTTTCACCACGAGCTTGTATTTAACCACCTTATCCATGAAGCCAACAGTTTCATAAATACAGTTCAACTGTGTGCAATTTAATCTCAATAAATGTGAATCTGCAATTGTAAATAGAAAACAATAAGATACACAAACACGTGGAAGAAATTGCTCTGGTCAAGTTAATAATTGGACGTTTATGTAAAAACTGCGCGTGGTGGAAACGCAGCACTGTGAGTGCAGCGATGGCAGCATCCTGCTGTGGGGATGTTTGAGCACAGCTAGTGTAAAGATGGATGTAAATACAACTCATGAAGAAATCCTGTTAGTAGCTGCAAAAGAAACTTACAGCCAGAGTGGTCATGGATAAGTTTAGACGAAACCGTCTTCATGTGCTGGGATAGTTCAGTCAAATCATAATTTTTGAAAAGCGAGACATTTTTGCTGCATTTTTGCAGTGAAACTTGGTTCTGCAGATTAATAACTTCGAGGGGATGTCATTAGTAAGAACATTTTGAAATCCGTTAATTACTTACTTTCTGCTTTACCTTTGACTTGTAAAAACTACTATAACCCTCTAATTCCCAAAATATCCTCTACTAAAAAGCATGCTTCCCTTCCATATTTTCAGGATTTAAGCTTCGCAGTAAATGTCCGTCTTCTGGTAAAACCTCTCATTGGTTGGAGGGGTTGGGTCATTGCTTTACAACCCCTACAGGCGTTCTTACACACAGCTGTGACCTGCTGTTATCTCACACAAAGAGGAACACGTGAATAACACAAGATGCTCCCGGGGACCGCAGCAATGTTTGATCTTAGCAATTCAAAAGATTAGAAAGCAACGCAGGATGAATTACACACCTTGTAAATTCTGGTGAGTGCATCCCAGGGGGTCAGAAGGACTTCAGAGAAAAAAAACAAATGTGGGGGAAGATCTCTCAGACACAATATGACCAAAGCTTCAAAGCGAACTCATGGAAGAGAAGAGAGCAAGAGGATGTTTCCGCTTGCATAAGAACGCTGAGGGGAGTTGAACTCACATCAACGGGAGCTGGTTTCTTCAACACAACAGGTGAATTTAGCTTTTCTTAAAACGTGTGCTGAGAAGTGAAGATTTCTGCAACGCATCCAAGGTTGAAACTTTTAATACCATGGCTTATCCAAAAAAACTTTAAAAAACGCAAAGATAAAGACAATATCCAGAGGGGATGTGATGCAACGGCAGACTTTTTTTTTGAGTGATCCTGTTGACTTCAGGAAAGCAGAATGGGGAAAAAAAGCCCAACATACAGACTCTGGTGTATTTCCATGAGGCAACAGACCTCAAACTGAAAAAAGGTCGCAGGGTTCAGCAAAGCCAATCTGGACATTTTTCTCAAGTTGAATAGAAAATAAAAATCTCGAGGTAAAACCTGAGAAAGATTTAACTCAGATGAGACGTGAAATCCTAACTTGTGAACCGTGTTCTATGATTGTCTAAATAAAAATGAAATTTAATGTATTTTAACCCTTTCCTTTTCCAAGTACCCAAACTTTAACTGGGCCTTCATCAGTATTTCTGTAAGATTTTTCTGGCTGCTTTTAATTTAACCTACACACCCTGACATATGAGGCTTTGAAGAAAAGATAGCAAAACTTAAGGCCTGTCACAAAGTTACAATTTATATTCTAAAAAAGCATATTTTAGCACCATCAACATCATCAGAAGGATGATGCACCTCCCAGGTCTTTAACTGTAAATAAAGAAGTGAAAAAGTTACAAGACCATTTTGGGCTTTCAAGAAATGAAAAATGTTTAGCACAGCTCTTTGTGTTTGAAAAGTAGAACTTAAGATGACTCTCACTGTCACATTTAAAGAAATGATCCAGTTCTCAAGAATCTAATTTTACTCTGAAACCACAGGAAAACAAACAAGCAATTGACAATCAGAAATTCACATAAATAAGCAATTCCTGTCTTTATCATCTAATGTCGTATATGTGTGTGTGAGCTGATAAGATTGTTGCGAGAAGAAAAAAAAACAAACAATTTCAACCGTGACCGACTAAAGACCAAGAGACTAAATAATGATATTTAACTGGAGCTCCTAACTGGAGTTATCTGATGAACTAAAGTCCTTGATAGAAAAACAACCTCACCATAATAAAGGTCAAAACAGTGATAAAGTGAAAATGTCTGTAAAAACGCTTAAAATGTTTATTTAAGAATCACAACTTTTCACGTAAGTACATTTATACTGTCCACTTCATAAACAATGATTGCACAACTGGCTCTGTATTTACAGATGCTAACTATAAAATTTTTTGATCAGTAATCTGTTGCCTCAGGTTTTCTGGGGATATACATATGATATTTGACACACGGCTGATTTCTTTAACTAAATGTTCCAAATAGGAAGGACAAAAAAACAACAACACGCCATTTCAACGAGAGCATGTCTGCGCTGATCATCGCAAGTCAGGAAATGATTTCCTATTTCTAAAGTCAGGACTGTGACAAACAAGACTGGTTGAGGACCCAAGTTTATCTTACCAAAGGTGAAAAACGCCTCTAAATTTCACTGCGTCAAAGAATCACATGTGTGTTTTAGGGTCGCCAGGCGCTGTCTGCCCAAACTATCACTCACTTAACCCTGTAGAGTTTGATAAATGCAACTGGAAAATTTCACGACACTGCATCCTTTAGTATTTTATTACATTCATCCCCTCAGCCTGCCCTCTGGTCTGGAGCAGCGGGCCGGGTGGGAGAGGGGAAGGCTGCTGGATCAAAGAAAAACATGGGACTGAGAGAGAGGTGTCAATCCGTCCCCCTCCTCTGTCAGGGTGAGCACACAGACCCTCCTAATGCTTGACAGGGGGTCTAGTTTTACCACCCACTTCTGCTCCCCCATCCCGCCCTCCCCCCACTGCAAATTGTTCCCCCACGGAGGCGTTTATGGGAAGGCCGACAGGATGTTCGGCCCATCAGGAGATCAAAGCCCCCCACTTCCACTCGGTGCACTGCTCCCCGTGACCTTTTCAACTCCAGCAAGGCTTACAAAAATCACAGACACATGCAAAGCTGTGATTACAGTAGAGAAGCTGGATGATCTGTGATTGTGGCAGCGGGATCAGTTTCCTCGTCCTCATGTAGCTCAAATAAAGGCTCAATTTGGAGTAACAGCAGTCTTCCTCAGGCAATCCGCAGAAGAGTGGTATTAAGTATCAATGCCACAGTCACTGCCTGTTTTTAAACACAGTTTGCACAGAAAGAGGGAAACTTGGTTGAAGTGAAGACATCTTTGAATTAAGATAAGGTAGTATGGGTTTTGATAAATGAAACTCATTTATCAGCATGTTCCAGAGGCAAGACCTCATGGACTGTAAACAACAAATATCAAATAAACTTGGTTTAAACGGTCTCTGTTTTCAATCTCGGATGGTTATTTAAAACACACACACACACGCACACGCACACACACACACACACACACACACACCCACACACACACACACACACACACACACACACACACACACAGTCCACTGTAAAAGTATTCACTCCCACTGAACTTCTCCACACTTCTTTTTCACATTATGACCACAAACCTTAGTGCGTTTTAGTGGGATTTTACGTGATGGACCGACACAAAGAAGCACACAGCTGTGAGGTGAAAGGAAAATTATGGTTGTCAAAAATGTATCCAAATAAAAATCTAAAAAGATTGGCGGACATTGTATTCAGCTCCGCTGAGTCAGCAGTGTACTGTAACTACAGCTTCCAGAGTTTTGGGATACATTTTTGCAAATGTGCTCAAGCTCTGTAAGATTAGCTGGGCAGTCATTTTAAAGTACTGCTACAGATTTTCTATTAGGTTTATGTCAAGGTAATTCTAACATATTAACATGTTTTAATCTAAATGAATAGATTATAACTCTAAAAGCCTCAGGTTTTCTGCTTTTAACACCACTTTCTTCATATTTTCAGTATCTCCTACACATCTTGTGTTGAAGTTTTAATCAAACTTCTTTCAATACTGACTTTTTTTTTTTGGTTTGTTTTTTTTGCCACTCTTTCTTTCGATCAATCAACTCTCCCACCTGAGCTTTGGTGCCCTGTAGCTCCACTAAAGTCACCACAGGATTCTTGGATGGCTTTCTGACCAATGCTGCCCTTGCATGGCCTGTTGTTTCAGACGGATGGCCCCCTTTCAGTAGGTTTGCAGTTCTGCCATGTCCTAATGCTGGAGCTGCTTGAGATGCAATAAACTTGAGGTTCTGTTTTATGACCAAACCCTGTTCTAAACTCCCCCACACGTTTATTCCTGATCCGTTTCAGGTGCTTCTTGGTCTTAATGTTTTACGTTAACCAGGTTTCTCGGGCTAAACGTCTGGAGCCGTTGCAAGACGGCTGCATTCGTAACGAGGTTAAATCACACACATGCGACATCTTCCTCCCATTTAACAATTACCTTGTGTTGCTCTGTCTGAAAACAGAAAGTTGGGGCACCGCGTAGCTCAGTGGCAGAGCAGCCGCACCAGATGTGGAGGCTATACTTTAGGCAGATGTTTCTGGTTTGATTGCTGACCCCGGCTC